TTTCTAGTAAAACAAAAAGAAACAGAAATGTCAAATCAAAGTGACTTCATTATACACATGACTTCTTTTTCTTACCAGATTTTAATCCATGCCACCATTTGCTTTCCATTGAAGTAAAATAATTTTAATTTGGGGTAAAACTGGAAATGGCAACCAAGGCCAATAGGGTTCCCTCCGTACTCCCCTGACAGAACCAATACAGGGTATCAGATCTGATTATCCCCATGGTAGAGATGGCCATGTATAACTCTTTCCTCCAATACCCAGGGCTACTCTGCCTGGTATTTTTTTACTCTGAGATCAAATAAATGCTGGCTTTCTTCAACAGAGGCACCAACATGGCCCTCATGGCCCCCAGGAGCAGAGCAATGCACGTGCAATAAAGGAAGGATGGTGAACCTCAGCTGGCTAACTCTTACCTGCCCTAAGACATCAACTCATTTAAGTAAATGTACCTTATAACAATAGCACTGAGACTTATATACTGCTTCACAGTGCTTTACAGCTCTCTCTAGGCGGTTTAGACAGTTAACATATTGCCGCCAACAATCTGGGTCCTCATTTTACCCACCTTGGAAAGGATGGAAGGCTAAGCCAACCTTGAGTCTGATGAGATTTGAATTGCCAAATTGCAGGCAGCTGGCAGTCAGCAGAAGTAACCTGCAGTACTGGATTCTAATCACTGAGCCACCATAGCTATTGATCTAGAAATGACTCTAATGATGATTGAATTTCTTGTATGTGCTTTTTCTTTTAAAAACTTTTTTTAACATGACTGTGTTTCACATGGTTATTGTTTTATACTTTTTTTACTGTATGCTGCCCAGATTCATTTCTTGTGAGATGAGTGGCCATAAAAGTAAAAGGTAAAGCAGTGCCTGCAGATTTTACTCTGTTAGTTGTTGCTGCTATGGGGGACTATGCTAATGTCCATTTCAAGACCATTGAGCCAGTGCTGTCCTAAGACATTTCTGTCATCATATGGCCAGCAAGACATCATGGAGCGCTGTTACCTTCCCATTGAAATGGAAACTATTTATCTACTTGCTTTCAAACTGCTAGGTTGGAAGGAGCTAGGACAAAGATGGTTGATCACCCCATCACGTGGCACTCGGGTCTCCAACCTGTGTTGCTGGCTTTCCAGCCGACAAGCCCAGCATCTTAACTGCTGTGCCACCACGCCGTCAAATGTGATAAATAAAAATAATTTCAGAACTTTGCATAGTTTTAAAAAGTAATGCTTTAATCCCAATATTAAAATATGATTGTGGAATTACAAAATTACAATTTAGAGCAGGTAGCTTTATGCTAAGGGTGAAAGCAGAAGGTTTCCAATCTGAAGAAATTCTGGCCTATCCTTCTAATTGGCAGGCACAGCAAATCCCCAGGTTAAGAAAACTCTGGTTTAAACCCATAATTGGTTTAAACCCATAATTAAGAATAGAGCTTTTGTAGCAAGATTCAAGTTAAATGCAGTGATTCAAATTAAATGCACAGTGGTTCAAGTTCATTATACAATAGTACTTATGTAGTATTATGTAATAACACTGGTCCAGTTTACAAACAAATTTGACTTTAAGGACAGATCTTGGGAATGGAACTTGTTTCTAAACCGGCGACTGTATTCACTGAGTCTTCTCGAGAAAAAAACCTGTATCCTATTTTTTTAACAAAAAAAAAAAAGAAGGGGAAGATTTGGTTTGTATAAGAAACTTCAAGGATGAATTAATAGATATTCTCTGCATACTTCGTTTCCTTCTAATTAATAAAATAACAGCTTGAACATTCCTTAGTAAATCAGCCAAAAATTATGACAGTGGTTTGTTTATTAAATTAGGCTGCTGGCAAGGATGGAAAAAATCTATAGTATGAATTATTGCATAAAATGTCTCATGGTCTACATAAAAGTTAAAGCTAAATAAATACAGATGTAAACTATGTTTATATAATATGAAACACTGCTGAGCTAAGAATTTTAGGTTGGAAAGTGCAAACTTGTGGATCTGATACATTATGCATTTACCACATGACCAAATTTATTATGTAAGTAGCTCCTATAACATAAAGAGAGCTGTTTTACATACATGCAAAGTAAAATGATAAGATATAATAGTAGGGCAACCTGATAATGTGGAAAGAGGTTGTGTTTTTTCCATCAATGATTCCTACAATGATGACAATTCATATTTTCATGCTGCATGGTTTTTCAACATGGTATTAGTTTCCTAGAATAAATTTCAGATACGCTAAGTGATAAATATTGTTAACATTGGTATAAACTATTTATATGTGCATATTAATACTAATTGGAATTGTGGGAGGTTAATATCCTATTTGTTGCAGTGTCAACATGCCCTGGCTGGACCTGTTCATGTGGCTTCTCTGAAAGACAATCTCTTTAGCCAAATGATATAGACAGAAGGAGGAGTGGCCTTAAGGGGCAAGAGGAAGAGCCGCCTCTAAGATAACAGCCAGATAAAAGAAGATTAAGTCTGGGATAGGAATGTAATCTAATAAAGTGACTTAGTCAAGCCCTTCCTGGTTCTCATGAATATAAAAGAGGGAGGGGAGGTACATTAAAACTTACAAGTCTTTCTTACTTTAGTTTTACAGTAAAAGCAATATGGACCGAATGCACAAGGTAAAATTCATACCCAGAAATTCTTTGAGGATGGGTGAAGGAGGCCATCAGTAGTGGTAAAAACATCACTTTTAAAACTCTGCCAGCTCAGCCAACTACAGCATAAGTCTATTCCTCCTTTTTTCACATCTGTTTAATTTTTAATTTATCTATTCATTTTTTTTCATCAGTGAGAGAAACAAGCATTATGCCTGCTCCAGGACTGGTATAGTTTTTCCTTCTTACTAGGAAGGTGGAAGAGACACTGAGGGAACAAGATGCCTTTGTATTATCTAAATCATGGGTGGGCAACCAGTACCTCAGTCTAATTTCATGCAGTCTTTGGCCTAATTTCAAAAGCCCTCTGTAAGCAATCACTTCATACTTCTGGCAAGAGAAATCTGTCTTGGTCAGTTACAGAGAAACAAAGTGTTAAAGAAAATGACAGGGGAGGAGAGTGTGAGCAAATAAGTGCCCCGTACACATTTGGCTCTGGGTCTACCTACTGTTTGCTTCCATTCTACCTATCAGTGACAATGCACTCTATGTTTACTTAGCCTTCACCTTCACCTTAACCACAAGGAACCACCCATCCTCTACTCTCAATTCTTGATCTCTTATTTGGCCCATAAAAAAAGAGGAGATGGAAGCAGTAGTCATTATACATCTCCCCTGACAAAGCTTTTCACCACTACACTAGTGAAACTTTGCTTTGATAAACAGCATTTCCACAAAAGCCCCCAGTCTGCTGATGGGTTTCAGGACTGCAGTTTTTACCGTCATTTTTAAAAATAGAGTGTGCAAGCCTCATGCTACAGATAATCTTCTAGTAAGATACATTCAGCATCCTCTTTGCTTCTTTTAAAAGTTATATTCAGATTCCTCTTGACTTCATTTCCCAGGGAGACCTTGAGAAAGATGTGCGCCACTAATGTACTGTTGTTGCATAGTTTCAGTTTTTAGTCACTATGTTAACACTGTGTTTGTTTTATATGTTTACCAATTTAGAGGGATTTTTTAAAGGAGAAAGATGAAAACCAAACAATTTAACAAAATAAATAAATAGGATTTCTCCATGTTAAAGTTGCGAAAATGATTTATCAATGAATACTTTGTAAGACTGCATTTCTAAGTCTTAAAAAAACGTTCAGAAAAACAATTGCAAGAAAATATTCAAAGATTCAGATTAATTTCATTCATGTAAACATGTTGTCATTGAAAGATAGCTCATTGGACCCTAACTCAGTTGCTGACTCAGCCATCAACAAGTTATTCTTGAAATTGGAATATGGTGCAGGAATGAGGATAGTATTGTTTCATAATCATCCAGTAAGCCATAAGTAAGGAACATGTGGCCATCTAAACAATGAACTCCAACACCCAGCTTTCTTCCCCCTGCAGGCTATGTTGATTGGGGCTCCTATTCTTACAGCTTCTAGAGGGCAAAGATTCACTTTCTTACTCCAGATATGCATTATAAGATCCAGAATACTTGTTAACATTACTGCTTCTTGAAATTAAAAAAGAGGTAATGTGGCATGATTATTTTATAGTCACTGATCCAATGTCTAAACACATTTGCAGAGAGTCTCTCACTTTCTTATACTTCATAGAACTGGAAATGTTTAGGAACATTATGCACATAACAAAAAGCAATATTTGTGAATAATATCCATAAAAGAATTTTCTATAGCACTGTTTCTAAACCTTGGCAACTTGTCTGGGAACTCAGGAAGAGGAAGTCAGGGGTGGGATGCTACCGGTTCTGCCCAGCTCTATAGAACCGGTAGCTCTGAAGAGCAGCAGACACTGTGCTCTGGTTCTGTGTTTGCTGCTGTTTGGCCCACTCGCCAGCCCAGGCTCTTACTTGTCCTTTATTTCCTGCTTTTTCAATCTCAGCTGCTTTGCATGGCACAGCTGAGGTTGAAAAAGCAGGAAAAAAGAGGCTTTTCAAATGCTTCACCCTTGCGTGCTGCGCTTTTCAGCTGTCTGGGCAAAACGTAGTCACCGAACCGGTTGAATCCCATCCCTGGATGAAGTCCACACATCTTCAAGCTGCCAGGGTTGAGAAACACTTTTTTTTTTTTTTACTGAAACTGGTCTTGGCTACTTCAGATTTACAAAAAAAATAAACAATTGTGTGATTGTAAGAACTCTACCATGATAAGATTGAGCCCTACTTCGATGTATAAACTGGATTTGTACAATCATTCAAATAGGTTGAAATTTTGGTGCTGGTTTTCAGCAATATTTTCAAAATTTTGCACCAATGTTGAGCATGGGAAGTAAATAGAGGGAAAGAAAGCCCAAGGACCCATAGTGAAAGAAGAAATGGCAACCAACAAAAAATGCCTACCATGTTCCAGATAAGAAGGCGTACCTTCCGAAGGATCAAGCCTTCGAGCCCTCCGCCCATGTTTGGAGTTATTGTGCACAAACATATTATCCGACACTGCCAAGACGTGGCCATCCACATTGACTGTTGTAGATACCACAACCTGCAAGTGGAACAGCAATATAAGGAAACACTTTAATGCAATTTAAAATCAAATACGCACAGAGACTAATAAACCCAGAATCTTAAATAACACCTGGGAGCAGCAGAAAATTGCACAGCTATTTCACATAATAACTAGTGCCTAGACTCTATGACTCTAACAAGAGGTGCTATTGATGAGTGGGTCTTTGGCATCACAGGCTTTTGATGTCATTTAGTCAAATTACACAGTTTGTAGCTGTATAGAGGAATATACACTGTTAACCATAATTTTAACAAGAGCAGCTTTATTAACTCCTTTTTAAAAGAGTTGGCTGCATATTACTCCACATCATCCTTCAACATGCATGTCTGAATAGATAAACTGTTGTCACTGAAAATGAGAATTGATTTAAGTGCAAAAACAAAATTGGTTGCTAAAGTTGGATTAGAGTAACTGAATTCATCATACTGCTAAAGCCTGGAGTGTATGCATTTGTCCAAAATTCTCCTGAACAGGGTAGAGAGAAAGAAAGATTGTATGTGTAAAGAATATTTTAGAACTTAAATGAATACTGCTTTTCAAATCTAAGCAGATGTTTGTCTTTATCAAACAATCAAGTGTGAATCTCCTGTTTTTGCAAACTTCATTATCCTAATGGGAACAACTAGAAACAGAACTATTGTTTTGCTGTACAATATAGGACATACAGAAATTTAGACAGTGAGATGGGCAGCATATACATTTAGAAAAAGATAAATAAATAGCACAAACTCAGATGATTTGTTTATTAATAAAGCATAATTTTATTGATAAACTTTGAGCAAGTTGATAAAGGATTTCCATGAAGTTACTTAGATAAAAATATGCATTGTTTTCTGTACACACTATGGGTCAGCAATAGGATCCAATAGTGATGATTATAATTGAATCTTATTTATATTAAAAGGACTTTTTAGAGGCTGTATAAAAATGAGTTAAGCAGTAGACAACTGAGGACTTTAGATGATAGCATTGATGATACTAGCATTTTTATTATTATTATTATCCTTTTTATCACCATTTCATTCTTCACTTTTATTATATTTAATCTCATTTATATTAAGAGAATCTTACAAAATATTTTTTTCTTTAAGGAGTTAAATGACAGTGTACTAAGGAGATGCCTTAAGACAGGGGTTCCAGCCACCAGTCCATGGCCCAGTGCTGGACCACAGCCTATTTGGAACCTGGCCATGGAAAGGTGGGCGAGTATGCGTGCGCATGCATGTGTGAAGCTGCATTTATAAAAGTGGCATACATGTGAAACCATCCCTTCTCCTCCCACCCTTGCTGCCACCACCACCTCCATTGGTCCGCCAAACCAGAAAGGTTGGTGACCGCTGCCTTAAGACGATCACATTTATGATGTTAGCAAGCAAGATGACTCATTGCTATTTGAATCATCCTGGATTTTTAAATCTTCAAACAACCCTTGAATTTTGTTGCAGAGAATGGTCAGTTTAGGTTTGTCGGAGGATGTGCTTGCCTTTGAACAATGGATTCCCTAGATTACCTTCACTGTGCCTGAAGTAGCCATTGTGCGTATGTCTATTGCTTAGAGCACAATTACACAATAATGAAAATAAAAACAGTCATTCACTTAACAATTGGACTCCAATCTAGCGCTTGTTACAATACTACCTACCTCCCAGTGCTGAAGGATTATATTCGTAAATCACATCCATATACTTTTATCTTAGCACTAGTCATTATGATTGTATTATACTTATCTTGCAGGTCTTGTATTGATTACCAGCAGACTTCCATATACAATTCAAAGTACTAGTTTCAATTTAAAATTCCAAATTTGATTCTTACCAAATTTGACCCATCTGAGAGTCTTCTGGGAGAATCTCCATGTCCTCCATGTGAGGTGGGAAGGACTGAACCCAGAAGGACAGGTCCCCTATCGTGGCACTCATGCTCTGGTACTGCCTCCCCCAAGAAATTAGGCTGGCCCCTTGGTGATGGCCTTCCAAAATTTACCAAAGATCACAATTTCTTGGAAGGCCTCCAGGGAATAACTATTGACCATCAGCATTTAGATCAGGGGTGTCAGCGTCACGTGACATATCGGGACTTTTTTCCCCTCTGCTAAGCTGGGCATGGGTGTGGCCAGCATCCAGCCCACAGGTCACAAGTTTGACAGATTTAGATGCTTATCTACCTACTTACGTTATATGCACTGATTTCTGATTAGGGATATTATATACATGTACTATAATTTTTATTTATGCCATTTGTTTCTTTCAGAGTGGCATTGTTGCAAGTCTCCAGGAGTCTGCCAGAACATACTTAAAATTTAAAATAATAACAGTTATAATAATACTGATTTCAATTTCTGTAAAGAAATATAGCCTTAGCATTAAGTCAATCTGTTACCATGATCAAACACAACAGTACATGTGTGGACAGCCATTTATTCCAATAAAGGATATTTGTAGCTCAGGGTTGACATGAGGGGTCCTTGGTGCTCTCTGAGCTTACTCGTTTTCTTGCAGACATTTCAGTTCCCTAACCAGGTAACATTATCATACGTGTATATTGTAGATGATGTAGGTGATAAACAGCCACCTTTCCTGTGAATAAATGCCTGTCCACACTAATATTAATGTACTGTTGTGTTTCAACATGGAGAGGGTAGGGGAAAGGGGGAGAAACAGATTAATAACACAGTACTGTATCTGGTTAGTTATAAATTCAACAGGATGTATTCCAACGGGGATGGTGAATCAACAAAACAAATCACCAATGAAAATTTTGGTGGGACATTTTCATAAAAACCTATTTTCTTTCAAGTTTTAGGGAAAGTCTGCATCTGCGTGGCTGCATCACTGTTTTTGGTGGTGTTTTTTTTTTTTTTTACCACTGCCTAACTACGCATTCAACCTAAAGGCTATGTTTCCATTCCACTACCACTCATTAAGCATCCCAAGCTAATTACAGCTTCCCTCCCATGAACCTGCCTTCCAGAACTTTTGCTAAAACAATAAGAAGAAATGACCTACACTTCTCCTTAAATTAAACAAGGAAGGGGGATTAAAAATTGAAACCCACTGAGATATGTTTATTCATGCGACCTCTTACAACCAAATATAATAATTGTCTGTTAATTGCAGTTTCAGCTCCCACCTCATGCTTCAACATGTGAAACTGCAATCAGCTGGCTCCTGTTTAATCCACCTATTATGTTGACTAATTAACTTTGCTCAACAGTTTATTTCTTCCTCCATTATCAGCCCCTGTCAGCCTCAAGCACAGTGCCGCTAAGGGAGACCTCAGCCTCTTTGATTGATCACCGATAGATTGACATGCAGATTAATTTAATTAGAATCACCTCACTTGAGAAATGAAAGACAATGGCAAAGGGGCTAATAGATCTGCTCTTATAATGAGGCTACCCTCCAGAGCCAAGGAAGAGGGTTTCTGATTTATTTTGCTGAATTCCCAGTTGCTCCACAAGGCTCTTGCTTTAATTGTTCTTGGTATTGAGAAGCTTTTGCCTCTGAAGAGGTGAAATGCTTTACAAGGATTGGCAAACATTTCTTCAATTCTCCAAGGAAGCTGTTACCCTCTCAAAGTTGCATGAACAGAAAGGGTTGCTGGCAAGAATTTCTTTATGGGGCTTGAAATGGGTAAAAGGGAAGAAAATGAAGCAAAGTTTTCAAAGTAATATTTCATTAACCATAGTAAATTTCCCCAAAACATGTTTTGTTATTTCTTGACCTAAAACACTGTTTAATCCAGAACTTCCAATTTTCTGTTTATTTAATGTGTCTCTTCCTCCCCTTCTCTCCTCAATTTATTAATGTTTACAAGCCTATGAATGTTAACATGATTTGTGTCTGGATATAATTTGTCATAGAATGCCATTAGCTCATTTCATTAGATATTTGAACAGTTTGAGAAGCTAGAGTACTGAACAAGATTGAACCAGCATACTAGTTAGACCATACTGAAAAAGAACACATCAGTAAAAGTTTGAAATTAAATTTAATTTGTTTCTATAATCAAGGTTGATAGACACAGTTCTCTACATGGCAGATACGTACCTGGGTAGAAAACTGCATGTGTCTTAACAGAGATTTCATGCAAAACACTATACAGTGAAAATCCCTCAATACAAGATTGCAATGATAGCACTAACACTAGCAATAGAATAGTAATAGCACTTAGACTTATATACCAGTCCATTAGTGACCTCAAAAGGATGGAACGTTAAGTCAACCTTGAGCCAGTCAGGATTGAACTCCTGGCTGTGGACAGAGTTAGCCTGCAATACTACATTCTAACCAGTGCACTACGGGGGCTCCTATGATCAGTCACTTTCATTTGTCCAAAATTACTTTTGCTCTTTTCCAGCTACTCAGTACTATACTACTATACTACTATACTATACTATATATGGAATATTGAACTGTTTCAACTGAAAAGATTTAACTAATAGCTCTTACTCAATAATAGCTCTTACTCAGTGCATAAAACTTTAACTTTTAAAGTAAAATATATGAAAGTTGCACAACTTCTGTGCATTGGAGTAAGAATATATTTACGCTGATGGGCCACATACAGTATTGGCCATTTAAGTCAACTGAGAAATACAAACACCCCCAATATGTTTATAGTATTACTAAATTTTATAGACAAAGCAAAAACCCTACACAAGATATTCAGGTGCTGTAACACAATGTTCATCATGGCATCTGCACTGGTGGGAAGGAACCTGAGATGTTATTCGTGTCATGTTGTCATTGTGTAACTGATGCAAATGAAATACTGTATGTCAGTCGTGACATGGTATCATTACATAATTAAATCATGTAATATCATTGACATCTGTACAGGACACCTAAGGCCCTTGCACATCAAGGCACTGGAGTACTATGCCTTTTTCTACAATGCTTAATCCACTTGCTTAAGCAAAAGGAGACACAAGCAACTGTGGTTGTTTTTACAGGGAAAAAATTTCCAGGGTGTGG